GAACCAAGTAATACAAAGTCTAGTTACACCACAAAGCCCTAGCTTTTTTACTTTATGGAAATAAGGTTAACCCACCTTTACATATTCTCCACCGACTCCATTTCCCATCTTCAACAGCCTAAGATGTGGGAATAGATGTAATCATTCTTATAGGGGATCAAGTATTTCGTTCCTTTCTTTTCCCCAATTCCCTTTGTCACACCAAGACTCAAAAATTTACTATATGTGGGTACCTAGCTAATAATTTGTCAAATGAAGGTGCTCATAACTAAAATAAGTCGTATTATTTGATAGTAGAAACTTTTGGTGAAGGGAGAAAATGTGACGACCTGATAGGTAGTTTTGAGCACTAACTTCTTTTTCTGTGTTTCGAGACCTCTCGTAACTTTATTTGATAATTTATAACGTGAGTGTATGGTCCGTATCATTTTTCAGAAAGCTATTAAGTAAAATTTTAAAGAAAATGTGATTTTTGACTTAAAATGAGGCTAGAGTTAACCACGGTCAACATTTTTGGTAAACAACCCCGGATCAACATTTTGACGATTTCGGTATGTTCATATGATATTTTTGGACTTATACGCATGTTTGGTTGGGGTGCCCGGCTGATCTGACGGTGTTTCGGTGCATTATGTGAAAGATTGGCAAATCTGGTTTTAAACTTGAAATTCTTGAGTTTTAATGTTCAATTCATGATCCTAGATGTAGTTTTGACAATTTGAATTGGCGAGCGAGTATGTATGATGTTATTACTCTTGCGTGAATATTCAAATTGGAGCCCGGGGGGCTTGGTTGAGTTTCGGATGTGTTTTGATTGATGTTGGAACTACTGATGAACAAATGTTGATGGTGTTAAAGTTGCAGGTTTGCGAGGACCTAATCGCTATTGCGAGCCTCGCATTTGTGATGTCAGGCTCGCAAATGTTAAGAAGGAAATGGGGTAGGGTTTCGCTTTTACGAAGGATACTTCGCATTTGTAGACTTGGGGTGCACCGCTTTTGCAACCTTTTTGTCACTTTTGCCCTCCCTGGTGACTTTGTATAGCTTCGCAAATGCGAAGCTTGAACCATCTTTGCATTTGTTAGGGGTTTCGTAAATGCGAGGTACTAGTCGCATTTGCGACATTTGGGATACTGTTGCACGGGTCGCTTTTGCAATCAATATTTCGCAATTTCGGACATCTACAGTTGGGTAAAAGTTAGAAAAAATGGGACTTACATCATTTTACATCATTTCTCAATCCCAGACTCCATTGAGGCAATTTCTTAAAAGCTTTTTCTTCCCAAATATATTGGTAAGCAACTATAATTTATTTTTCATCAATTTTCATTACCTTTTCATGAATTTATTCATCAAATCTATGGATTTCAAGGTAGAAGTTAGGAGTTTTGGGTAGAATTTAGAAATTTTATAAAATTTAAATTTAGACCTCGAATTGAGGTTGGATTTTAAAACAAATTACATAACCAGACTCGGGGGTGAATGGATAATTACGATTTGGTCCGAATCTCGGTTTCGACCAAGCTGGCCCGAGGTTGACTTTTGTTAACTTTTAAAATTTAGTTAAAGATTGAATCTTTTTATTTTGTGGGTAGTTTCTAATGCTTGATTTGAATTGTTTGAATGATATTTGGCTAGATTTGGTTAGCTTGGAGGCTTGTTCTAAAGGAAAAGTCGTAGTTGATTATTGATTTGGTTTCGAAAAAGATATAAGTGTCGTGGTTAACTTTGACTTGAGTGAATTAGGAATTATTTGGTCTATTTGCTATGTAAATTATGTGTGAAAACGACGTATATATAAGGTGACGAGTGTATAACCGTTGTCATGGGTTCAAGCATGCAAGGTGGGGTATTTTTCATGATGTTATGATTTATTCCATGTTATATCTCGTTACATGTTGTGATTGCTACATATAATTACTCGTTATTTATGCTTTGCTTGTTATTTGTCATTTATTTGTTATATGTTTCTGTTTATTTATTCTTTGATCAATATATGCATACGTACTATATGCTCTCACCAGTATTAATTGAACACCTTTACTATTTCATGCATTTACTTGCCTTTATTGTTTTTACCTTATTTGTTGCATTAAGTTATATCCAATTGTGTGAGCCCTTGGATATTCTTGCATCGATGACTTGTCGAGGTTCGGGTTGAATTACGATGTGAGAATACTTTATAAATTTGAGTTGTTGGTTGTTCTCTGTTTGTGCTCGTAGTTTCTGGGTGATTTATATGCTTTGGCTTCCTTTTCATGTTGAGAATTCAGAATTTGTGGTATTGAGTTGTTGATGACAATGAAATAAAAATGAAAACGGGTTGTGCGTCGCAATAGAATGGGAATGAAATGATAGGATTCGATTGCTCGCCGCAATAGATAATAATATGATATTTGAATCGGGTTGTACGCCCCAACAGATATTGAGATGATATTGGGATCGAATTGCTCGCCGCAATAGATTTTAATTTTGATTTGGGATTGGATTGTATGCTGCAACGGGGAATGCTGCAACGGGGAATGATGTGTTGTTACTGTTTGTAGCTATGGTGTTCTAGTACGAGGTTATGAGATGATGTTATTTTTGAGTCCTTTGTTAGTTGACCTTCTGGTCGTGTTGTTACAAGTTTATTTGTTTTCTCTATATTTATGTTGTCTGCTATTTATTATTCTTATATGTTTACAGTGAGTATTTTTTCATAGCCTCGTCACTACTTCGTCGAGGTTAGGCTCGACACTTACGAAGTATGTGAGGTCGGTTGTACTCATAATATACTTCTGTACTTCTTGTGTATACCTCGGTGTTAGTCCTAGCAGTGAGAGTGCTCGGATCAGATCAATCCAAGAGACTTGAGGTAGAGCTGCACATCGTACGCAGTCCTTGGAGTCCCCTTCCTATCTTATTTTACTGTTTATCTTATTTTGAACAGTTGTATTCTATTTCAGATTATATTTGTAGCATTCTAGTTGCTCATGTACTTATGACTCCATATTTCTGTGATTAGTATAAACAATGTTACCTATGGAATTATTATACTATGTATTTAAAGTATTTTAGTCTTTAACTCTTAATATCTTGCTTTTAAATTGTTAAACTGAACAATTCTTTAGTTAATGTTGACTTGGCTAGCAAAAACTCACTATAATCAATTAAACTACAGTGGTGGTGTAAATTTTTGTGTTGAGTCCTACTCATGAATATAGAAGTGAAAAGAGGGAAATACCAAATTTATGGGACAGTTGCTACAGGTAGGTCCAAGTGGTGTTTGGTTGGTTCATTAACACAGCCCTTCATCCTGTTTTCCCCTGTATATAACACCCTTTTAAAAGTCCCACATCCTCTTCATTCCAAACTCCATACACTCCATCTCCACTATTTTTATTCCCCTAATAACAACAAGGGGTTTGTCATTGCGAAAGGCAGTGCAAATGGGAA